CAAATAATTTAACAACCGGTTCTCTTCCCTAATGACCAGCTGGGTAGGCGTGGCTTGGTGGTCATGTGACCGTATGGGCAGAGCCAACTCAACATCACTCATGTCGATGGGCACTTTGCCTTTGCTGTTGCAATTTAATAAGGGTTAACCAAAGAGGCAGTTTCTGTAAGCAGGGCAATAAAGATTAGGCTAGAAACAACACCAGAATGTTTCCTTCCTGCCTTCCTTACAGGATTAGGCCTGTAAAGTAGAAAAAAACAAAATCAGATCTCTTCCAACAACCGGTTCTCCGAACTCCTTAGAAAGTTAACAACCGGTTCTCCCAAATAGGTGCAAACTGGCTGAATCCCACCACTGGTGTAAATTGATTATGTGAACAAATTGGAAATTCCTGCCCTGAAAGAAGCGGGATGCTGTTTGTTAAGAAGGACTAGTATACTGACAAAAGGCTATCATGAAAAGGGCTATCAAGTGATAACAAGGCAAATGAGAAGCTGTTATCTAGAATTGTTTTCCATCTATCCGTTTCCCTTTTTCAGGATCTGATAGGTAAAAGTCTGCCATTTTAGATGGCATTGTAAAGCCGTATGAAAGGAAAACAAGATATTCATTACTGGACAGGTACTTCTCTTTCTAGGCTTGGCCATTCTCCATAAGAATATTAATCTATTAATAATGTCACAGTACTGTAATGCAAAACTCAGTGTCTAAGAGCAAAGCTCACTCAGGTTGTAACAGGCTTCCACAGTGACACACTCTTCCCTTGAAACTCTGAAAATTGTGGTTTAGCCATGGATCGAGATCCATTAGTAAAATATCACACTGAATGTAGTTCCTAAGAATTCTTGGGCGGGGGGAATGACCATGGCTTGCAATAAAAGAGCTATCAGGGTTTCCTTTCAATAACAGACAACACCTTAGCTTTGGAAGCAGGCTCTTTTTTTGCACACACCTGCCTAGTATTTCTCTTTGGCATTTTTTGAAGAGAACATTGGCACCTGCAACTTTTTCAGTGATCTTCATCAAGCCATCATCTCTCCTCCTTATAAGGTACTTTCAAAACTAATTAAAGACATTTCACTGATTTGTTGTCTCTGATAAGTTCGACATCTGATCTCCCCAAATCATAAACACTTGACATACATATAACAATAGGCCAAAAAATATTAATACTGATTGTGTTAGGCCAGGGACAAGCAGACATTAGATGGAGATATTTCAATAGATCTGCTGGTGGATTTCTGAACAACTAGTGGTTTAACCAAAGTGTGCCACCAGAGTATTTTCTACCAATGAAATTAGGCTGCTGAATGAAGAAAGGATAGGGAGAGGGACCACAAATGTGAATATTCATCTCCCAAGGAATGAAATCCAAAAGACTATAATCTGATACTAAAAAAGCATGCCTCAGGTCAACATATACATATAAACTTTTTTTAAATGTATATTTTGGTCCCACTTGTTTTAATATTTTGCTCCTGACTATGAGTGCTAAATCAGAAAACTTTCTTACAATTACACTGGGGTGATAGGCTTTTTTTTTTTTTTAAGATGCTGTTTCCACCTTTATGATGGGTATTCTGCATTCCTAGAGCCAAATCAGTATAACACAGATCCAGTGAGAGGATTCTGGCCAAGTCTAAGAGAGTAAATGAATGTGGCTCCCCAGCTCATCCCAATTATTAATTTCTAGCTGTCAATATCACTGAATTTTATTAAAATCACCACTGACTTCAACAGAAACCAAGCATGCTAGCAAATATACGTATGATTAAATCTAGATGATTAATGCTGTTGAATATTTCAAAAAGAGGGGTGGTATAAATGAATCAATATTTTTAATGACTATGAGTCTTTTTAGATTTTTTTGAGAAGAAGCTATCCACCTTCTTTAACCTTCACTTTAGACTTGCCAGTGTATTATCCCTTTATTATCAGTCTACATTTCTAAGGAAAGGTGGTATAACTTAGCAGTTAAAGTTAGTCTGAATATATACATATAGAAAACTGGACAGCCAACAAGCACTTCACCCTTAGGGATCACAGCTTATTAGAAATTCTAGGTTGCACTGTTTTCATATGGGCACCATCGTTGTGCAACCAAGCAGCCTCAAGTCTTAAATGCTACCACCGAAGCATTCTGAAATAGAGCTGAAAGTGACTTGAGCCATTGATCTCGCCCATGTTTGCACAATAATGCATCACTTGAGCATCCAGGCATCCAGAAACAAATTAATCCATGTCTTTTAAAAACAACAATAACCCCTCATTTCATTTTATAAATAAGCAATTGAGAATTTTGCTCCAAGTGGCCACTTGAATAGCCCACTCCATAAATGGCATTCTCCGGAGAATAAGGCACAATATGATACGAATGCAGTTCTTTGTAATAAAGGGACTGAGAACGACATTCTTGTACCATAAACTTCAGCCGTTTTCTTGTATCCGAATAGGCAGTCCTACAGCATGAGCTTTCCTTAAGATACTCATAGCGTTCGCGCTCAGTTTCCAGATGAATTTTCCGCAACAAGTTATTAATCAGGACTGAGCGGCGGAGATAGAGCTCAGGATCTTCAAGAAACTGGAGCTTCTGCAGAGACAGTTTCAAAATACAAGTCCGATCTTCAGGTAATATCAGGTGCTGAGCAAAAAGAAAAAAAAAATGGGGAATCGTCAAGGGTAGGAGAAAATACAGGTAGCACAGAATAGGCCTACCAGAGCTGCACTGCAAAAATATAGTTGACTACTAGATGGCACCAAAGAGATACCACAATGTTTAAGGTTAAATTTATATTCAACGACAAAGAAATAAAGGGAGACTAGTATAGATCTATTTCAAGCTATTTAGCTCTCAACAGCTAGCCTTATCCTTCTGGGATTCGAACCCAGGGAATCCCAGCAAGGGTATGGCTAGCTGATGAGAGCTAAATAGCTTGAAATAGATCTATACTAGTCTCCCTTTATTTCTTTGTCAGTGAATATAAATTTAACACGAAAATAGTTTGTCGCGAAAGTGACTGCCTGCAAAGGTTCCTGGATTGGGGCTGAAAGGCAAAAGAGGAAGCCATCCCATATTTGGGTAGACCAGGTTGCTTAAACTTAACAATGTTTAATGTTTTCTGCCATCTAAGGATTCAAATTTTTGCAGCCCAGACTCCTAACCCAGGGACAGAATCACATTGGGGTCTTCGTTAATGTTGAAGAACAGCAAGATAACCACATAGAAATGTCCATCATCCGAATCTATCATTATCTCTTGTGAGAGCGGGCAATGTTTCTCCCCGCCTTTGTTGCTTCCCAATGCCTCCATGATCTAATCTGTTCTGTAAGGAACTGATGAAACTCAACACTCCAATTTGCTGCTGTTGGAATTCACAGGCATCATTTGGCACCTAGTTTTACCTCTTTTTTTAAGGGTTGTTATTTTGGAAAATATGGTTGATTGGACACTGAAAATATTTTATGGAGCTTGTGTGAAAATTGGTAAGGAGAGTTATAACTGCTGTCTTATGTCTCTGTGTGTGTGGTTTTTTTTCTTATGTTATTTTTTTCTGTAATGTGGAAGGGTTGGAAGATGTTGTCCCTATTTACTTAGCCACTACCACCAGCAGACTTGCAACTTCTGACAACCAAGAATACAAGTCCTTTCCCATGAATTGGGTCACCAGCCTCATCCCAGGGGGAGGGGGGAAATTGCATAGTAGAGTGGGTACACTATGAAAAGAGAAGCCTCAGGAGTGCCCAAAGAGCCTATGGCCATGATGGTGAACCTATGGCACATTGGCAACGGCACATGCGCCATCACCCATTCCTCTTCTGGATTTCTGGCACACATGTGTGCATGAAGATCAGCTGGCCTTCGTGCATGCAGCAGTGCCAGAAACTGGAAGAGCAGGTCTTCCATTTTCCGGCATGAGCATGGGCGCCAGCCAACTGATCGTCACCCAAGCATGCGCACCAGTAACCGGACGTCTAGCTGGCCAGGGCGTATACACCTGCCAGAAACCGGAAGCACATTTTCCAGCACATGCATGCCCCCTGGGCAGCTCCTCTTTCAGGTCGCATCCCAGACAAGCATGCACATGCGCACGCTCCCTTTTCAGCGCCCGGTGCTGCAAAGGTTGGTCATCACTGTCTATGGGTTGAGCTGGACATTGTGAACCAGGAGTCCTTGCGAGCTTCATTTACACAGGAGATCTTCATGGCCTCTTTTCCTCTTTCTTACTATCTCAAGATAGTTTTATTTAATCAGTCATTAGTTCTTCAAATATAAATCCAAATACAACTGGCATGTACCGTATACCGTAAATATAATTTATCTGTCTCGCAATTAAGATCAGATTCATGTTAAAATTCTTGCTTTTAACAAGTATCTACGCACTGCAAGTTAGGAAATGCATCCATATTAATTTCAGCTTTGTTATATTGACCACAACATACTCACTTTTGGAAAATACCCTGGGTAATCTTGATGTAAATCTTCTTCTTCTGCATATTTCCTCTTAAAGTAGGCTACTTTCGACGTTGTTAAGGTATTTGTCAATACTTGGCTTCAATATGCAAACAAGAAGGATTCAGCGTTATTTTAGCAGCCCAACAACTTCATGGCACTGTAGCATTTTACAATGACTTCCTTCAAATCACAAGTCATGTTGTTTGCACTGATTTGAATGTTAGAAGGGATTGGTTCTAATATTGTGATTGTGTTAGGTGCAAGCAACCAGAAACTATTTGTGAATAGCCTCAGGCGGTAACTTTATTGTTTATACCTATGTTACGAGAATCTCACCTGGCTGCTTGCCTTCCCGTGGGAACGACTAGAATTTGGGGGAAGGTCAACATATGCCAATTGAGACTGCCCAACAACTTCAAACTAGCCCCTTGTTGACCCCTCCCCTCCCCTCCCTCCAGCCTAGCTGCCAATCCCCCCAACAGTTTGAGATCTTTAAAATGCATACAATATATACATAGCAAGAAGGTTAAGAAAGTTCATTACAATTTCATTAAAAAGGAAAGTACAACATAGTGCTCAACTTTACTTGTGGCCCCTAAGCAATTATTTGTATTTTGTTTTCACAGAAAAGGGAAAACTAAGGACTATACTGATAAAGGTAAAGGTCACACATCTATGCTAGTTGTTCCCAACTCTAGGGAGTGATGTTCATCTCCATTTCAAAGCTGAAGAGCCAGTGTTTCCAAAGATGTCTCCTTGGTCATGTGGCCAGCATGACTAAATGCCAAAGGCACCCAGAACACTGTTACCTTCCCACCAAAGTGGTCCCTATTTTTCTACTTGCATTTTTT